AGACCAACCAACAAACCCAGTGACTGTAGGGAGAGGAAATGATGGCTGAGAAAGGGGAGGCTCACCAGCTGTTATTAAAGACTAGAGGCTCAGCGCACAAATTTGTGCACAAGTGAGGTCCCTAGGCCTGGCTGCTGATCAGGGCCGATTGAGGCCTGCCGGCCAGAAGAAGGGACCGTGGGAGGTTGGCTGGCTGGCCCAAGGTGGGGGAGGAGGAAAGGGCCACAGGAAGTTGGCCAGCTGCAGGAGGTTGGCTGTGGGAGCACACTGACCACCAGGGGGAAGGTCCTGTGTTGAGTGTCTGGGCGTGTCATAGTGACTGGTCGACAGGTTATTCCAGTTGGTCAGTTGTAACAGTTGGTTAGGCTTTATATATATAGATTGAGGCCACATAAACTATTCTTTTCTGGAACTGGGGGTAGGGAAAAGGATGGAAGAAAAGAGCGTGGTCTTTTCCACGCGGTAACTCCCAAGGAGCCAAGCTGGCTTTATACCCTATTAAACCAACATCTTAAGAGACACTGGTCTCTGCCAGAAAGCTACTTTGAAGTTCATTCTTCTCAGTGCCTTACTGTGCACTGGGGCTAGGAGTGTGGATCCTTAAGATTCTGTCTGGCTTAGCAGAGAGGCGCAGACCTAGGGCCTAGCAAGGAAAAGGTGAGAGTGGAGGGGAAATATAGGGGCGAGCTTTAAGAGGGATTCTGTGTGGATGTGTTTTGCACCCTTTTTGGCAAGGGTAATTGGGCTACGAGGGAATGAGACTGGCAACCGGGCACGAATCCCCGAGAAAGATGTGGCAGAGTTTCGTAAGCCGAGTTCTGGGCTTGCAGAGAGGGGTTCCCCACAGGGCTGTGACACCCTCTCCCACCTTCAGCAGACAACCGGGGACATCGCCCCAAAGTGAGACACACCGAGGACAGCACAGTCACGAGTGGGCACAGGCTTTATTCTCAGTGCACAGCAGTTCTGCGTTCTGCTCATCAGCAACACGTTTTATTGGTTCCAAAAAAATTATCCCTTTTATTCCCATCTTTTCAAACTCCTGCTCCTCCTGTTTCAGCGGAACAACGTATTTGAATTTCAGATTTGTCAGTTTGTAGCATTTCCCCCCTACGAACCATATAAATACATGCAAAACATTGTACGGAGAGTTTAAATAATATCAAAATGCAAATACAGATTGGGTGCACTGTTAAGCCGAACTGCAAATTATGGCAACACACACTGGGGTAAACATTGCTCTGATATCACCATTTGCTTATTGATGTCATGCAGACCGCAGCGGCCTATTTTTTGTTTTTATTATTTTATACAAAAAACAAAACAAAACAAAACACACAAACCAGTGCTTGCTATACTAGTTACAGGGAAAAAAAAAGAAAAGAAAAAGAAAGTCAAAATTCCTATCTCCGTGCTAGTTTGGAAAGAACAAAGTAGTTAGGTTGGTTGGCACATATATATGGCATATTCACATATGGCATATATACATATGGTGCGGAAACATGAACCAACAGCCACTTCGGCCAGGGAGCTCACCTCCCTCCATCTCTCTCGGTCAGGAGGAAAGGGGATGGCGGGCCTAACCGCAGGGCTGGGAAGGCAAAGGAGACTGGCACTGAGCCACCTGCAAAAGTGTCTGGTCTACTCCGAGGGAGGGGCTGGAATGGCTTAGAAACGGCAGGCATTGGCAACGCCTCACCCCCACCGCCGTGGAGGGGCGGTCCCTGTCCGGAAAGTGAGGAAGTGGGCACTTGGTGATGGTACAGGGGCTGCTTCAGTCGATGGGTAAGGAAGCAGGAGAGAAGGAAAGCGTTTGGGGGGGTGCAGGGCACAGGTGATCTTAACAAGCCCCTCTGGGTTGTCGGCAGTGAGGCAAGCACTCAGATGTAAGTGCACATGCTCCTCTCTGGCGCTCAAGGGCAAGAAGAAACCAAAACCTACAAAGTGCCAGAGGGGTTTCTAGAAAGTCTCTCTGCAACTTCCAGGGATGCAAGTCATTTCAGAGGTCAGAGGGCGCCTACGGGAGGGACCGAGCCCCAAGACTGTCGGGCAGGGCTAGAAACAGCACTTACAGCTCTCTCCCCACTCTATACCTTGCACGAAGCCTTTCTAGGAGAGGGGAGGAAGTCCTACTCAGATCCTTGCTTAAAAACTCACTGATGGAAAGTTCCAGGGACAACCGGAGGTAAAAGAACCTCTTATTGGAGGTAAGATATGCAAACCCCAAATCAGAGATGTTCATGTCTTGGGCTCCACACTGCCAACTATGCATCAAGAAACAAGATCCAAGTAAGGCCACTGACCCTTATCCCATCTCCCAGGGGCCCACGCTCATTTGCTGCTGTACCCTCCACCCCCCTGCCTTCTTGCTGGATGCTTTCCTTCCCATCAGCCTACCTACCACCCATTTTTTCTAGATTAATCTAGGACACTATTTCCCCCTTCTCCCTATCAGACCCTTTTCAAATCCAAAGCACCGTTTTGGAGAAAAGCTTTAACTTACGCCGTGTTTACTCACTGCCAGTTGGATCGCTGAAATGGAACAGGAAAAAACTTATATAAAAAACATAGGCACATAAACACTTAAACTTAGTTCCGCAGCAACAAAATGTATATTAAAAAAGTCTAGAACCCAACAAGTCTCCCCCGCCTCCCCCAAGTATAAAGATGGCTGTTTGAAGAAAGGAATTACGCGGCATTGGTTTAAAAAAAAAAACCAATGACAAATATACGAAGTCACCTGTCAAGTGCAACAGCTGGTTATGTGCTCCCTCCACAGGGGTTACACGACAGCACTTTATTGTACATCCTTTTAAACAAAATACATATGGCTGACTCAAAAAATACGTTTCTGATCTAAAGAAAACTATATATATATATTTTTTTGCATAATATTTCTATATTTTTCTCTCCTACTGTGGAAACTAGAATACACAAAAAACCGTTGACTGGAAAAGTAGACGCTGGCTCTCAGGAGTAACCTGGCGGCACCATGAGAGTCTTTTTGGAGCAGGAATGGTAAAAATAGCCTCCAAAGTTTGTTATTGGCTTTTTTTTTTTTCTTTTAAAAACTGATCTGAGGTAATAAAAGACAGAACGAAATCTTCCAATGTACTTAATAAATAGACACGTGAACACCAGACACCTCGCGTGAGCCGTCTTTCCTCCCCCATGTTACAGACAGAGAAAAGGTCACTGACGCAGGTCACCTTTACAAAAACCCAGACCCAACTCGGGGAGATTCTGTAATAACGGGATGTGTCGGGAGCATGCTTCTTTCCTCTTCCTGCCTCGGCCAGCTCAGGTGAGAGTGGGAGAGGGGGTGGCAGCCAGAAGAAAATGCTGGAGAAGACAGGTTCGGGTGCCCTTCCTCTCACAGAGGGACATCTGGCAGTTCACAAGAGCCTCCAGCCCTTCTCCCTCCTCCCATCGCGCGGCAAAGTGGGGCAGTCTCCCCTAGCTATCCAATGGGAGGAGGGAATTGGCAGACACGAGATAGAAATGGAGCTGCTGCAAGCGTGGCTCCACCTTGTCCCATGAAGGAACGCATAAAAAGTCCCCTAGTAAAATCCCCAGCTCCTGAGAGGCAGGCGAGAGGGGATGCTTTGGGCAGTGTTCAGGGAGAGAAGGCACAGGGCTTGACTGTGTAGCAGGTGAGCACGCGCTGGAGAGGGGCTTGAGTGGGGCACGAGAGGGGAAGGAGGAAAGGATGGAGGAGAGGTTTGCAGGGTGGGTTTTTTTTTTTTCTCCTTTAAGTCAGCAAAATGTCACTGGAGCCTCCCACTTTGGATTCATAATTTCAAAATCAAAGTATTTGAGAAAGGTCGGGACCTTTTCAGAGACTGGACAAGTTAGGGAACATAGCAAGGAATAGAGTTAGACAACAGAAGGGAATATCAAAGCTGGCACCTAAGCTCAGATCTTAGACGGCCCTCTCCCAAGGCTTCTCAAGGCTCACTGCCCCCACAACCAGGTCCTGCCCTCCCAGAGCCTTGGCAGGTGGCTTTGAAAGCAGCAGTGGTCACCCCAGGGCTCCATAAGAGCTGGCCAGTTCCTGGTCCTCGATACCAAAGTTCAGTTAGGAGTCGGGGCCATTCTCAACAGACTCATGTACCACCACTTTAGAAATAAGAGGAATCTCAGGATTATGGTAAAAACTACACACCACACCTATGCAAGCTTCATGGTCAAGGTTGATCTCCTTAGAACGTAGAAACCACACATACCTGACAAGTTTTGAAGTAGATAACCGATACCAGCTCTCAATTGCTTCAAAAGACCCTAATTAGCAAAGAAAACCTGTGTGCCCATAAAACTAAATCAATGGTTCCACTGGGGCCAGAAGGGAGAATGGTCAAAGTTGACTTAATTCAGTCAGGTCCTTTCCACTTTCTTAATCACTGTAACTTAAAAAAAAAATAAAAATGGTGTAAGTAAGGAAGACAATAGTTAAAGAGAGAAGAGAAGTTTGACCGGAAGGGTAGAAAGAGTTAGAGGGCTTTAAGGAATAAGCTTTCAAAATGGGAAAACAATTTTAACAACGATCACTCTATAGGCTAATTCCATACATTCCATTCCTGCTTCCCACACAATTCATTTGAGAAATATTTGTCTTGCTGAACCCTCAACTGAGGTGATACATGACACAGACACATAAGGTAAACTCCAGAAGTCAGGAGATGGCAACATAAGCATGAATACTGGGGGACAATTGGGTTGGAATGAATGCTAAGAAGATCATAGCATTTCTTTAAAAAAAAGACAACCCATACACTCCAGGAGTAGGTTCTACTATTCACTGGTCCTGCTACAAACCCCAACTCAAGTTTAAGTTGAAATCCTTGTAGGTTACGTTCTCTTGTCTCTTCGTGGTCAGGCGGGGGGCTCACACATATTTGGGAGCAGCTGACACAACAGTGAAAATTCCCATCATCACCTTACAGATGGGAGAGATGAACAAGAAATAGGGAAAGCAAGAGTGGGGAGTCAGAGGATGAAGTTCAAACGGATGTCTCCAGGCTATGTAGAGGGCTGTCAGGGTGGGAGGGAACAATTTGCACCTGGCTGCAATCCACGGCATTGTTGTTTGTGTTGGCGGATGGAGTGACCTCACCATCCAACAGCAGCACCCTAGTCCCAGGCTTAGGAACCTTTTCAAAACTTTCCTCCTCTTGCTCATCCAGGAGTGGTGTTCGTGGCCCCTCCTCATCTATGGCGAATTCAGGGTGGGTCATGAAGTTGTGGATGGAGTTTTGGTTCCTGGGTTTCTGGATGCTTTCATGGAGGGAACTATGGAATGCTTTGACCACTTTGATCTATACCAGGGGGAGGAAGAGAAGGATAAGAAAAGACAGATGTGAGAATTGGCCAGTAGCACAAGGAACTGGTGGTCTGAGGAGAGAAACAAAATCCAAACTACCAAACATTATGGATCATCGACACAAAACCATACGATAGGACACTAGAAACATTTACGTGGCTCAACTTTCAAGCATTGGGGTGGGGTGAGGTGAGGAATGGCAAACAACTAGGATGTTTCAAAAGCTGCAGTTAAATAAAAACAGAAAACCCAAAGCAAAGTTAGCATTCCCAAACAATCCACTCTTAAAATGAAACAGAAAGCAAAAAGGTTCATTAGTTCTTTTGAACAGAGGGCACAAATGTTGGAACGAGGTGCAAATTAATAGCCAAATTTAAAAGATGAGTCAGACATGTGGGTTTCTGTGTTGAGGCCAAACATTTTGTGAATGTGGATAAAAAAATTACACATTGAGGTTTAATTATCTGTTTAAAACCCTCAAAGAGCCAAACACATACCGATCTGCACATAATACACTTTGGGTGAGAAGTGGCCATAATTACAATGCAGCAAGGCAGACAAACCAATCTTCATTTGTGTCAGCAGCATGCAAGAAATGAGAACTTATACTGTTCAATTGAAGAATTGCTCTTTTATCAGGTAACACACATATATTTATATCCCACAACTCTGCCCTGTCCCCTTCCTTCTGCCCCTCCCCTGGAAGATGTGGATGAAACATAGGTATCAAAGGTATCAAAAGATGCCTTCCTCCTGATACTGGGAGAAGACCTGCCTCTCACACTCAGAGATGCATGTCTATGTCTTTGACACATGGCAACTCTGCCCAGTCTCATCGCTTCCTCCAGCCGTTTCTAAATTGCAAAGAGAAGAATATCGTATGTGAAGGAAAAGGAGGGGACCTAGGTTGGGTGCAATCCAGGGGGCAGTGCTACAAACAAGTGGCTTTTCTCATGGGGTGGGTGAAGAAGATGAAATGAAAGGAAAAAAAAAAACAACAATGTGTAGTTTTACCGGGCAAAGAAAGGGATTCAATCAATTTAGAGAAAGGGGAAAAATAGACCGTAATTAATCTCTGTGACCAGCCTGGGTCTTACCTAACACCACCCACTTTGGCATCCTGCTTTTCTGAACTGCAGGTCTCTCTAAGGTGTGGGGAGCCTTTTTTTCTGCCAAGCGCCATTTGGATATTTATAATATCACTAGAGGCCTGGTGCATGAATTCATGCATGAGTAGGATGTGGCTGGCCTACCCCGTTTGAGGCCCACTGGGCTGGGCTGGTGGGTTGGGGGAGGGGCTGACTGGGGCCGGATCAGACAGGTTGACTGTTTGTTCTCGTCATTCTGGCCATTCCATCATTCCAGTTGCTGGGCTTTTATATATATAGAGTCTCAGGCCATATAAAACTATCACCTTAAAAATTAGCCTGCTATATTTGGTCAAACATTTAATTAACTCACCCCTAATGACGTGGCAGGGACAGACCAAATGATTTTTCAGGTCTTATATGGCCCATGGGCTGGGCGTTCCCCATCCCTGCTCCAAGGGAGGATTTAGAAACTGGTTTCGTAGGATTGGGATTGGGAGAGAAACTTAAATCCTGAGAAGCTTGAGAGAGAGGCCAGGGGAAAAGAAAGTAGTTATACGATTTTCATTGGTGGCTGATTCTAGTCTTGTTCGAAAATTCTTCCCTTGGAAAAGAAGTGGGAGTAACACAGGAAAAACTATTAAGGTGGGGAGGGGGGATAGGGAAGAATGATGAGTGTTGGGTTAGGGCATCTCATACCATACTCTGCTGTTTAACCAAAGAATACGTTCCTGGAGAAGAGGTAAGAATGTGGAGACAGCAGAGCATACAAAGAGTCAGGCAAATAATTTGGTTGGATTGCCTGTTCCAGCACTTACTATCATTGTAGAGTGCCTTCAAAAATAGCGTGCAAAGAAGGTTCCCTAAAGTCTGTCTCTGCTGGCTAGACTTGCCTTAGTCTATGACAGCCTGGGAGCCCACCAGGACTGAGGGTGCTCAGAGCTTACAGGGCAAAGGATTCTTTGCCACTCAATAGAATCAATTCAACACCCTAACCAAGCAGAATCAAGGGACCAGGGCACTCATTCACCAAGCTGAAGAGAAAGTAAGGACCTACTTTTCCATCCTTCTGTGATCCCTACTGACCATCTGATAGGTGAATTTTACCCGTTACATTCTCTTTGATCCAGATCAGGGTGAGATTAGATAGAATAGAGTCTCCACTTGGTCTTCAGGAGGTCCCAAGTTTTAACTGATCTATGTCAGACTTAGAGCAAGGCAAGTTGGTTTGAGTAAACCTAAACTCAATGCCTTCTCCCTTGGCCCTGGTCAAGAGAAGAATTCAAAGCCATGGCACCGCCTACAGGGGTGACAACATAGGCCTTACTTTCCATCTGCTCTTGAGATCTCAAGATTTCCAAGTGCAGCAGGTGAACAGGTACCTTTATACCACCAGTTGATCATCTTCGATATCAGTAATTTTCAAACTTCCTGCTTCTGTTGTTTTAAGCATTGACTACTTTATAGAAAGAATGGTATTTAAAGTCTAATATATAAAACAGATTTTTAAAAAACTGGGGTTGTAGTGAGGGTCTGGAGCCCTATTTGCTGGCTTTTCCTCTCACCTGTTGGGGTGATCATAACAGCTGTTACAGGTACACAATAAGGGAGATAAAAAAGTGAATTGGAGCTAGGTAAATGAAAAAAAAAAAGACATTTTCTTCTTTGGGGGGAGCAAGGAACAGCCATCTGGCTAGACTGCAGGACTTCTGGAATCTAAAGGGAAACCAGTCACCTGCAAGGAAGCTCAAGTGAAGTGGAGTCTGGAGGCTGGGGTAGGGGAGAGGGGGGGGGGGTAGAGGGCATGGGGCTGGGCCAGAATGCTCCTCAAGCTCCACATGGGCCTCAGAGAATACATAACTCCCGCAGATGAACAATCACAAAAAAAATACCCTCCTCACTCCACCCAGGACCTCTTCCCTGCCTGAGGTGCATGAGCAGTGTACGGGAAATAAGACATAGCTAGTGAGGCAGGTGCTGTGAGAGCTTTAGGGTCTCTCCACTCAGCCCATCAACCCTTCCTTCCCTGGTCACTATCTCTGAAAACCTTTGGGAAATGTCTCTTCGGTGGTCCTATCCTATTGGTGGAGTGGTTCACTGAAGGACAACTCTTTCTCATGACTCAGGAGCCCCAACCAGGCTAGACCTTAGTGCTAGCTCAATGAACAGGCAGGTGAACACTCCACTTCCTGGGCTGGTATTCTGTAGTCTTCTGCTCACTTTTCAGAAACCAGGGGAGGAGAAGAGATTAGGGCTTTCCTATAGAGGAAAATCTTTTTTTTTTATTTAAATTTTTAATATTTTATTGATTTTTTTACAGAGAGGAAGGGAGAGGGATAGAGAGTTAGAAACATCGATGAGAGAGAATCATTGATCAGCTGCCTCTTGCACACCCACTACTGGGGATGTGCCCACAACCAAGGTACATGCCCTTGACCGGAATCGAACCTGGGACCTTTCAGTCCGCAGGCCGACACTCGGTCCATTGAGCCTAACCGGTTTCGGCAAGAAGGAAATCTTAGGGATTTATCTACTGAAAGTTAGATAAATAAATGAATTTATTTGGAGATCTAAAATGGGAAAGGAAGTTTTAAACATGACTATAACTTCTAGGACCTCCAAGGAAGAAGGAGCCAGAGAGAGAGTAAGGATGATCTGTCTCTCCTGCTGGATTTTCTAGTCTTTGATAGTTTGCAACCTACCAGCAATTTTACAAGAGCCTGGTGGGTTCTGTGTCTTCCGCTTAGCTCCTTCTACTATTGAATTGCTAGGATATCTGATATTAACCCTTCATAGCATAAAAGGGATGATTAAAAAAAAGAACAAAAATTAGTTAGAAGGACATAGCAAAACTAGAAGAAAACGGAAATAAGAGAGGAATATGGGAGAATTAGGGTGAGAGGCTCTTGGATATTTGCAGGGTAAGATTTATTTAGTTCTTTGACTGCCTTTGGGCCAAAATAAATATGTATTTATATAAAATCCCCCCACCTTCCATACCTCCCATAAGAACACTTGCAGCTGGTTCAAAAGACAACAAATAATCTGCCCTGACCCAGGTAGCTCAGTTGGTTGTTGTCCTGTACACCAAAAGGTTTGGGGTCTGATTCCTGGTCAGGGCACATACCGAGGTTGTGAGTTTGAACCCTAGTCAGGTGTGTACACGAGGCAACTGATAAATGTTTTTCTCTCACATTGATCTCTCTCTCTCTCTCTCTCTCTCTCTCTCTCTCTCTCTCTCGTTTATTGATCATTAAACAAACATATCCTTGGATGAGGGTTTTTTAAAAAAAGACAACAAATAATCTAAGCCTGGCCCATCTATGCAGCTTATAACCATGCGAACTACAAACAGTGTAACTGTTATTTTTTCACCCCTCCTCCCCCAAATCCCTGTGTTAGAATAGGGGGTTAGGAGGAAGGGAGAGACAAACCCTCAGATACTTGAAGCACACAATATACTTAATAGAGAGGGATTCCTTTCCTACCAATACTGTAATAGCACTATCAGCAAACAGACTTCTCTCTCCTCTCTGTATCCCATTTGGGAAAGGTAAAACAACTAGTGATAGGAAGGCATAAGCATTAGCAAGAATTCAATAACCTACCAATGGGAACACCATTGGTTAAGTGTGGGCAGCATCCCAATGGCTAAGAAAGGGGTTCCTGAAACTCTATGTGCAAAATCTGATATGAAAGGCTCGCTGCACGCGAGGCAATGGTTTTCAAACTTCCTGCTTCTATCTTTCTATTCTATTCCTAGAAGCAAGAAACAATAATAAAAAAAGGTTGCTCTTTTTAAAAAACAAAAACAAAAAACAAATATCACTTCCCCTAGATTTTATTTTTTATTTACCTATTTTAAAAAAGCTTGCTCTTCAGAAATTCCTAAATAATAAGTTTAACAGGTGAAGAAAAATGTCATTTTGACCTTTTCTTGTGTTTTCCTCCCTAGATGTGCATTAATTGACTCATACACCAGAATTTGGTTTAAAGTCCCAGAAAAATGAAAGCACAGGGCGGCTCAGCCCTGGGCATTCGAATCGAACACTTTCACGTCTTCACATTCAGTTCTAACTTTTATGCCAACACTGCCAGCTAATAGAGTGGTCGCCGAAAAGGAGTATTATTAATGGCAAAGCTCAATACTGGTTCATTATGACAGGTCTAGCGGTAAAAAACAAAACAAAACAAAAACAACACAAAAAACAACACCATGGGAACAATAGTTCCCTTTATACCTTTCTTAGGAGACCTCAAACTTGCCCCCAGATGAAGAAAGTCTTGGGTTTCATTTGACCTAACCTTACATCTAGCCTCAGGAAATAGAGTTTAGACTCTCAGGAGCAGATGGAGAGGAACAACATATCAGAACAAAGCAAAATATATATTAAAAAAAAAAAAAAAAAAAAAAAAAAAGCAAAGCAAAACAAAAACCTTGAGGAAAGAAGCAAGCAATGCAGAGGGAACAATTAGAAAACAGGGCTATTGTCTTTTCAACATTATAAATAAATAAATAATCAATCAATAGATAATAAATAAATAGGCGGGCACATAGGCTGATTTTTGGAGTGGGCTTTTTATCCAGTTTTTCTTCCTTTCAGTCAAAGATCCAAGGGAAAACCAAAAGAAAAAGATAACCATGGCTGGTTAAAGTGGATGCCACGTGCTCTCTTGTGGTCATTTTTAGCAAATCATGCATCATAATAGACTATCACTCACTGCCCAGAGTAGGAGATGAAACAGCAGCAGCAACAGAAGTGTTGGGGGAATTGACTGGTACAACTGTTACATAGGATGAGCTAGGATCATGTTTTACATCAAGGTGTTGACCCATGGTTGGTCGCTTTAGGACTCCCTTAAAATTGGCTCCCGTCTGGAATGTGTTAATTACGTCGATCTGCAAAGAATCAGAGAGTGAAATAGCTTTGCTCCACAGTCAGAGAGAGGTGAAGAGAGAGAAAGTTAGGGTAGGGTGCTGGAGGGTTCGGGAAGGGGGACAGAAGGAGCTGGGGAATGGGGCAGGAGAGGAAAGCCAGATAGCCCCTCACACACAAGGCAGTGGTGAGGGGCAGGGGGAGACGCGTCCATTGCACATCACACTTCATTTAAGGAACAATTTGCCATGGAGTCCAAATCCCCGGCCAGAACCCAGCTTGCTCTCCCCTGTAAGCCAAGTGGAAGGTATTTTATGTATGCCGGTATCCAGTGTTTAAAATTTGTAGGGACTTCCACCCTTCATGATGTCTATGATAGGGACAGCTTATTCACTGCGTTCATCTGTTCTCTTAAAAAATCAGGTGTGCGATTTAAAATAGAAGGAAAAGTATATATGACTGACCTCTAAACCAATAAAATTGGCTACTTATTTTTACAGATTTTTCCAAGAAAATAACTCATGTGTTAAAAGGAAAAACAGGAGCATGTAACAGCCCATACTAGTACATAGTGGGCCACGGGGGAAAGGCTCCTGAATCATGGGTTGCTGGGCTCTCACTCTTATGGGGTTCTTCTCTGAGGCATCCTTCCCTTGGTGTGAGGTGGACAGGGAGCTCAGAAATCCAATGGCCAGGCTCTTTAGAGAGGATGCCACTGGCTGCATTAACGCATTGGAGATCCCGAAATGTCTGGCAGAAATGCGGATAATAACCCAGCAGATAGACTGAAGGAAGAGGGGCAGAAAGAGCTGTTGCTAGCTGGTGGGTGGTGAGCAGCCTTAAGGCGAGCCCTGCAGAGCGGTCTCTGGTCTCCGGGGTCCTCCTTATCTGCGACAGAGGCGATCCATGCCATTTGTTTTCTAACCATGATCTGGGGTGTGGGGCTTTGGTCAAACCTACCATCCTTATCCCTGACCCCTAAGTAACAAGGAACAAATCAAAAGGGGTTCCTTTATTCTTCCGAATCTGGTAGAACCATCTTAAAAACGCCCACATGCTTAGTACCAATAGCCAATCTCCCAGGAATGCTGGAAAGAGGCTGATTCCACTCATCTGACTGCATCTCCCAGGAGAGAAGGTGGGAAAGCAGGCGCCGTGCGAGTCAGCTACTCTTACTTGGGAAGCTTTCTGAGAAGCCAGGAAGGGAGTAGGGTTAGTTTCTGGATTCTGAGCTAGAACACCACCCCCTTCACCAGTTCTCGGTTCCAGGGACAGAGCAGCCTGATCCCGCAGGAGGAAAAGGGTCTGTATGGAGCGAGGGTTCCGCTACATGGAGAGACACCTCCCTGGGCGCTTTCCTAGGATTACGAGGTCTTATCTTCCACAAGGAAATCAGATCCCAGTTTGACTTCCCCAGGTACTAGAAGTTTTGTTTCCCAAACTTCTGCTTCCTAGTGCATTTAGCTCCCCCAGCTAAAGGGTCCGGGATGGGACAAAGGCTAGGCAACACCTCCCCCCCCTAAATGTTGCTATAGCAACAAGGGTCAGGAATCAGATGGCAGGGCGTTTTGTTAGGACTCTGGTGAGGCTGAAGAATTGTGCCAGGAGAGAGCTTCAGGTGCCAGATACAGGTTGGCATAGGCAGCCTCGTTTGCTTATAGTCAGGTGCACGCTGCAGTGGCACGGATTTGGTTACTGTGGCATTCCTTAACACGCTGCCTTTGCTGCCTACGTTTAGGCTTTAATGCCATTCTGGCCCAACTGCCTCACGCTCCAATAGGGAAAGGTGGTATTCTTAAAGCTCCGCAGGCCATGAAACTACACAGTCCAAGGAGTGAACATTGGTGGTGGAGGGGGAAGGAAGGAAGATCCATGAATCTCAAGCCCCAGGAGAGAAGACTGGCCGGGTGCCAGGAGACACCGGAACAAGGGAATCCTGGCTAGGAAAGAAACCACAGAGCAGAAGAGGAGGCAGAGGATCCTGAGGGGAAGAAAAGCAGACAGGTTATTTCAGAAACAGCAGGTGTAAAGGAAAGCATGGGGCCTTGGTGACAGGAGCCAAAGGTGCCAGGCTCCCTGGGTACAGAGGCCACTGCTGAATGGGCCAGCAGCCCAGAGAGTGGTGGGAGGAGCATGGGGACTCAGGATGTCCCGAGGCAGACTGTGGGAATTGCTTTCTCTGGGAGGAGGGATTCGAGGGAAGGGGAGGGAGCCCCAGTGATTTCCTACCTGGCCCCTTTCCCACTCCCATTTCCTTGCCTCCGGGAGACAAGTGCTCAGCAGATATTTAGTTTAGAATAGCCATTGTACCTCCTCTCTGTGCACTGAGGAGAAAAGGCTAAATATCTGCAAGGCTAATTTTAGAGTGACACTTATTTCTGGGTCTTCAGCCAATCAGTAGAGAGGAATAGGCCTGTTCTCTCTGGAGAACATCCTTGACATCTTGGGATTTAAAGTTTTACGCGGGAAATCTCAGGACTAACACAACTGAGGCACGTGGGGCAAGAACAGGGAAAGCGATAGGGTTATCAGGGCCTAGACCAGCCCACTCGCCCAGCAGAAGGTAGACACAGTGACATAAAGAGTCGGGGAAAGTTTCTGTGAGGCTGTAGGCAGGGGACTTAAGAGCAAGAGGACAGCTTCTCTTCTCTTTCAGAAATTTCAAGAAAACAAAGCTTGAGGAAATGATAGCTTCCTTTCGGGGAAGCAAGTACCTGCAAACGATACTCAGGTATGGAGAGACCACTGTCATTGATACATACTTAGCCATCAGGTTCCCCACCATGACCTTAGGTTCCAAGTGGGGAAGATATAAGAGGGTGAGTTTCTTTTACAGAAATCCCTCCAGGTAGCATGTACATTACCTGACTGCGGCTTGAGGATGTGCATTAAGTGTCTGCTGGGGCTGCTGGCATAGAGGCACTAACTCCTTCCTTCTGAAGGGAAGGGAGGGATTCTGAACTTTCTCTCCCTGGGTTAGGTCTAGTGCTTGCAAGAGACCTCGTGCGGGAAGCTAGCCCAGCCCAACGGAGGGTGGGAAAGGGGCGTTAGAACCAACCCAAAACCAAAGGACTGAGCTCCCCGTGAGGGTCCAGTGCTCTAGGTCCCGCGACTACTCTCCTCTCAGAGGCGCTTGCGCAGCTGCTCTGCCCCTGTCTGTCCTAGAGCCAGGGAGCTAGGGCTGCCATTAGTAGCGGGCCTTGTAAGGGAAGAGATGTTGGCCACCAAGAACTGATGCCCTCCCCAAACTTCCCAAGATGGGGAGACTTCCTCTCCCAGGATGAGGCTAGACCACTATCCAAGTACCTGAGTCTGGATTCGGTTCAGACCACGAAACCAGAGGATCTGGCCTCGGCGTAGCTCCATCTCTGCGTGGTCAATTTCGTCCATCCCCTCCGCATCCTTGGTGATCTCCTCTTTGGCAGTGCCATGCCCGGCCTCCTTCAGGAACTTCAGGGATTGGGTAGGTATTGTGGAGATGACCTGAGAACAGGAAAAGGGGAAACACCAGACTCAAGGTCAGGCCCTTGGGGAGGTTTCTCTTTGCCCGATGACCCGTCCCATTGGGAGAAAAGTAGGGAAGCACTCGAAGTGTCTACACGCTGTCAGGACCTCAGGAGGGCTTTCTGTATTTGTGGACATCCAGCAGAGAGCTTATATTCTAGCATTTGACCAGTCATCTGTCTCGTTATAGTTCCTTCTCCTCCTTCTGTCTCAGTTTCTCATTATGCCATGTGTCTTTTCAGGGAAGTAGAACTAAGATGCCTGGTACATAGTGGGAGGGGAAAGGGACTTGGGGGAAAATAAGTCTGGGGAAAGGATGCTCATGTTACATGTGTACGAGTAAGGGGTAGAGAGGACGTTGGAAAAGAATGAGCCTCTTTGTTATCACCTGCAGAGCAATTCCTTGCTATGAAAGTGTAGTGAACGGGTACGAAAAGTCTTCTTGGACTTGGGAGAGGAAGGAGGTGGGACAGGCCATGGGAGAAAAGATTGTAAGTATGACCAGAAGCCATGGAGCAGTAGGATAGGCTTGTCATTCAAAATAAATCACTTGGTGAGCTCAGTGCCTGTCAATCAATTGTCTTCCATATACAAGAGGAGTAGACAGGGCTCGGGTGGGAAAGGGGCTGTGTGGGCAGTCCATCCAACATAGACCCATGGGTATTCAAACAAGAAGAATGTCAAAGCTGTGCTTTTGAATTTTGGAAGGAGCTGCTGTGATATAGAATAAAGGCCACAGTCACAGACTAGACTCAGGTGAGAGCTTCAGACAGTAGGTGAAACACCCAAGCTTCGCCCTAATATAAGCTACTTTAGGGACACACTGGCAAAAATCCTTCAGTAAGCAGAACTGGGTTAGGAGCTGGGATAAATCCTAATCAGGGAGGGATCTGGGCGGTATGAGAGAAACAACTAGCAGGTCTCCAGGGAGGGGTCTTTGGGGTCAGTTAGAGCAAAGCAGGGGCCTTGCAAAGTGGTGTTAGGACAGGAATGACACTCTTACCAGACCTGATGACATTATTAGGATGCGAACAGCTAACATTTATTGCAGCCTTAGAGTAGACATGGTTCTAAGTCATTCTATACAGTAACTGATTTCCTGATTAATAACAAAGACCAATGACCCTGTCATCCTAATAGGTGAGGAAACCGAGGCACGGAGTGGTTAAGAAACTTGTTCAAATGATACAAAGGAGCGCTGGCGTTCAAACTCAGGCAGCGGAGCCAACATCCGTGCTCTGAGCTATGTGCTAGACTGCTTCTCCAGAGACCTTGTGAGTCTGGACTTCTTTTAGGTGAGAGTCAGGCATTCAACCCAGAGAAGGCCATGGTGAGGAACGGAAGAGTAGGGGAGTCTTAAGCCATGCCGGCCGAGTAGCCAGGGCCAGACTGAAGCCTCATTAGAAAAAAGACATATGCTTTGTAAACTCGTCTACTTCCAAGACCCTTACTTTATTACTATTATTTTAAAGCAAAATTTCATTTAAATTCTCTACTCCCATCTCAGAGAAGCTCCAGGCCTGGTCAGAGAAAGATCCGAAGCCTCTAGAGTGATGGGCAGTGATCATTCCACCTCGGGACCCTACAGGACGGGAAACATTTGTAAACTTGAGGTCTGCAGGCTGAGTGCGCGCACGGGGAGGCCGGGCCTGTACTCACCTGGCCCCACAGCAGCTCTCCGATGCCAATGAAAAGGCACCAAAACCACTGGGACAGGCTGAGCTTCGTGCAGCTGAAAGGTTTCCCCCCAAATTCCACGATGATAATCTTGAAGAGAGAAGGGGGAGCCCGCCATCAGGGAGGTGAGTAAGAGGCACTTAGCCCTCCCGCTGAGGCCATCAGAGCCACACAAGCCCTTGCCCCAGGACCCTTGTGGTCTAAGCCCTGATTTGCTTGTGGGGAAGGAGAAAGAAAAAAAAAAAAAAAAAAAAAACACAGGAGAGAAGGGGAGAAAGACACAGGCTTAAGCACTCTGACAAGGAGACAGTCTTACCTCTGACTAGAGCAAGAAGGAAAGGCCCACTCCTCTTACCACGAGGGCAGCCATGCTCTTGACCCCGGTCCCCACAGGAGCCCAAGCCAGGCTTATCTGTCACCTAGTGCACGCCATCCCATCACTGCCCTTTCTGCGTGAACTGCACAGCAAGTTCTACTGAGAGTGCCCACAGCCCGTGCATGCGCATCTCGTGTGTGCTGGCAGGAGGCGTGGGGAGGGGGTGGAAGAGAGTGACCCTCCTTGGGGTCACGTTGCGAGATTTCTGTGTTTTAGGCCGATAACGAAAGGATTCTACACGTCTTGTTTTATCTGTCACCGACGTGCTGCCTTGAGCTGGAGTACATGACACAGCGGTCTAGAGCCACGTGCAAACGGAAGCCAACGGGGAACCCAGCAGCCCACGGCCCGCGGCCCCATCGCTCCCTCACTCCTTTTCCCAGGTCCTTCGGGAACCCTGGCTCCCAGCGACTGGCTTCTATCACCTCAGTCTTCCTAACCCCAACCCCAGCTGGCATCTCACCTGGCTGACGAATGTGCCCATAACCACAGAACAAAAGATGAGGTTACGGAAGATGCCTGCAAAGACATTCCTCTCTCCGTGGATCTTGCGTGAGTTGATCTCATTGAAGAGCTGCATCAGCACAAAAGTGTTGAAAATAATGGTGTAGTGCTGGGTGGGTGGGGAATGTAGAGGTGCGTTCCTCCCACTATCAATGTCAAAGAATTTCTCACCTAGTGGAGAGAGGGGAAGCACTGGAGGGTAAGTATGAACTCAGCGAGCTTGGGGTGAGTCAGACACTTGGGTGTGGCCGTTCTGCCTGCTGATGGCTGGTGCCCATTCGAAGTGGTCGGTATCTGAGCTATGCTAATTATTAAATATGTCAAATATTAGCTCTGACCCCAACATATCTGACTGTCTCTCAGTATGCTCCGATATTTATCTTCTTGAGGTGCAAACTTTGCAAAACTTTGTGCACTAGAGTCAGGCAGACATAGGTCTGAATCTCAGCGCCGCTATGATGTGGCCTGAGCTTTTGTTTTATGAGCTATTAAAAAAAAAAAAAAAAAAGGGTTGCCGAGGCCGAGACCGGTTTGGCTCAATGGATAGAGCGTCGGCTTGGGGACTGAAGGGTCCCGGGTTCGATTCCGGTCAAGGGCATGTACCTTGGTTGCGGGCATATCCCCAGTAGGGGGTGTGCAAGAGGCAGCTGATCGATGACTCTCTCTCATCGATGTTTCTAACTCTCTATCTCTCTCCCTTCCTCTCTGTACAAAATCAATAAAAATATATTTAAAAAAAAAAAAAAAAAAAAAAAGGGTTGCCGGTTTGGCTCAGTGGATAGAGCATTGGCCTGCAGACTCAAGGGTCCCGGGTTCGATTCTGGTCAAGGGCATGTACCTTGATTGTGGGCACATCCCCAGTAGGGGGTGTGCAAGAGGCAGCTCATCGATGTTTCTTTTTCATCGATGTTTCTAACTATTTCTCTCCCTTCCTCTCTGTAAAAAATCAATAAAGTATATTAAAAAAAAAGTTTAATGAAGCTCTTAACAGAAGCGCGGGGTCAGAGGACACGCTCGTGAGTGAGCTGCTGCTCTCCTCATCTTGTGCTCAGCCTGCTCCCTTTGGCCACTCCCCGCCCCATCTCCGCCCAGCACCCCAACCCCCACATTAGGCCTCCCACACTCGGCTCACCGGCAAAGACCAGGAAAAAGATGATGGTGAGCTGATAGACCGCGTGGCCCAAGATGTTCTTCATCATAGTCCGTGAGATCAGAGGCTTATTTCGGCCATAGGGGCGGCGCTTCAGCAAAGAGTCAGTGGGGGGCTCCGTGGCCAGGGCCAGAGAGGCAAACGTGTCCATGATTAGGTTCACCCATAGCATCTGCACAGCTTTCAACGGGGAGTCCTGGGGGTTGGGGGGGTGAGAAGAACCGGTGCTTTAGTTTTCCTCAGAAGCCACCCTCTCCTCACTCGTCAGCTTCACCTTTGTCCCCGAGATGGCCTGGCTCCCGCTGTCCCTCTGGACTTGGGGTCTGGCTACTTATCGGCTGCCTCCTGCATACTCGCTACTGGTGATGGGGCCTGCAACCTGGCCCGTGTCCTGACTGGGAATCGAACTGGCCACCTTCTGATGCCTGGGACGGCACTCACCAACAGAGCCACCCCGGCCAGGGTGCCCCCCACGTTCCTTAGCCCCTGCCTCATTGCTCCACGCACACTCCCCTCACCTGAGTGATGCAGGCTCCGGTGAAGGCCACAATCACGGCCACCACATTGACGGTGAGCTGGAACTGCAAGAACTTGGAGATGCTGTCGTAGACGTTGCGTCCCCACATCACGGCCTTCACAATGCTGGTGAAGTTGTCATCGGTCAGGATGATGTCTGAGGCCTCCTTTGCCACGTCTGTGCCTGCAATACCCTGAGGGAAGATGGGAAGGAAAGCTGAGAAACCGGATAAAGCTGCATTTACCAGCATTCTGAACCCAGACTCCATTTCCTGACTCCCAAGAAGCTTCTGACCTAGGACTAACGCTAGAGGGCACACCAGTGACACAAATACTAAATACAAGTTCTTTTCTTTCCCAAATAAACTGATGAACAAAAACAGACCCGGAGACAGAGAAGCAGAAGGAGTTGTATGCATACATATAAGCCTAACCAATGGACACAGACACCAGGGGGGTGAGGACATGAGTGAGGGGGGATTGGGGGGGTTAAGGGGGGGGTGGAAATGAGGATACATATGTAATAGCTTAATCAATAAAGAAATGAAAGACTGGAAGAAGAAAAAAAAAAAAGAAAAAGAAAAGAAAATGAAGGGAAAATGTGCCACCGTCACTTTACAGAAAAGAGGGCTGAGACCCAATGCTCCCACCTCACTACTGAACCCAGATGGCAAATCAGTTATCTTTCCATATTCCTCTCTCTTCCCTCCTACTCCCCCACCTTACAAATGAATTAAAAGATAAGAAACAAGTCCTATCCTACCTCCAAATTCTTAAATTTCCTTTGCCACTGTCAGTATCTCATGTAAGTCCTTACCTGCCCTGCAACGTTAAGCAGAAGCAGTCTGACAGCACAGTTCTCAAGTCTTATCCTTGTTCAAACCCTGCCACTGGGCAAGCACCGAAGGCTTCTGAGTAGACGATTGGGGGTTGAAAGCTGTGCTTTAGACACAGTGAGCTTTCTGGCCTGGCAGTCAGAGCCCTCAGTAAGTGAACCCTGAAGCCCTTTCAACTTGCTCTTACGTATCTTTCTGCCCAACACCCACTGGTTTATTCACAATTCCCTGGATCTCTCATTCACCTTTAGAGCCTAGACGTTTACTTACCCCATTCCCCCAAGTCTGGAACCTCCACTTTCCCCATCTACTTAAATCCTACCTGTCTTTATTTATTTATTTAACTTATTATTATTTTTAAAAATATATTTTATTGATTTTATACAGAGAGGAAGGGAGAGAGATAGAGAGTTAGAAACATCGATGACAGAGAATCATCGATCAGCTGCCTCTTGCACACCCACTACTGGGGATATGCCCGCAACCAAGGTACATGCCCTTGACCGGAATCGAACCCGGGACCCTTCAGTCCCCAAGCCGACGCTCCATCCACTAAGCCAAACCAGTCCCGGCCTACCTGTCTTTAATGTCCCACTCAATTAAGCTCTACTTGTTTTGCACGGCTGTCCCTAACATCCCTGGCCCATGCTTCTATCCCACATCAAACATGCCTTGTGACTTCTGTAACCCGCAGAGGAGCTTGTGAGGATTAATAACCACAAAACAAACAAACGAGAGGTTCACTCACCATTAAATAAGGTATAACATTAAAAAGTAAAACAAAGCAATCCCTAAACTGAAAGGCAATATGATGTAACTGAACTGGTGTAACAGTTGGTAGCACAATCATACAAAGGAAAAAATGTCCCAAGTGACTTTTTAAAAAAAAACAACACAGCAAGTTGATGGCACATTCTTAGTATTATAGGATGTACCTGCAGGGTAAAAAGAACTATAAGAAAAAGCTTTCACTGCTTTTAGTAGAATAATTTAGTAGAAAATATTGCTCTTTTAAAACCATTATACACAGTATATTTTAGAATAAAGCAAATAAGAGCACACATTCCACATGGAACACACCAATTTTCCACGTGTGCCTAGACACACAATACTGCCATGGCCACAGGGCAAGTTCAAGTAGGTCTCAGTTCCTGGGAAATGCCACTTCCTCATTTCCCTGCCTGTGTCACTTAGTCTTCGTACTCAGTGGTCCCCGTTTTTGCATATGATTCCTGGCTGGGTAGGTAGAGGGATGGAGTGAGAGACAGGAGCAGTTGCTTACCATTGCAAAACCCACGTCTGCTTTCTTCAGAGCCGGCCCGTCATTGGTGCCATCGCCTGTGACAGCCACCACCTGTCGCTGCTCCCCAACCATGCTGTCAATGATGCCTGGGAAAAGCAGACATGCTCGGTCAGTCCACCTGTGCTGTCGGAGGCCATTTGGCAAGCCTTGTCCCCACACAAGATGCTTCTCTGGTCTTCTTCCCCGATCCCGCCATCACTTCCCTTCCCACTTCCCTCTGGTGGATGCACTAGACCAGTGGTCAGCAAACCGAGGCTCGTGAGCCACATGCGGCTCTTTGGCCCCTGGAGTGTGGCTTGGCATTAAAATAAGGTGACCAGATCATCCAGGTGTTGGCGGGACAGTCCTGCACTGTTTTAAAAAAGTCCTGACTTTTGGAAAGAATCTTTCCAATGTTTCCAATCTTTCCAAAAATCGGGACTTTTTAAAAACTCCGCGGGATGCTGGAAAAATTGTTAGAAACCAGGACCGTCCTGCCAACACCTGGACGATCTGGTCACCTTACATTAGAACCACTTCTTCAAAACAGACTCGCCCAGGCCGAAAACTGACTTCTGCGCATGGGCCACAAAGTTTCAATCGCACTGCAGCGTGCACTCGCACGTGGTATTTTGCGGAAGAGCCACACTCAAGGGGCCCAAGAACTGCATGTGGCTTGCGAGCCACAGTTTGCTGACCATTGCACTAGACCATCACCCAAGGGCAGTGCGCTGTTTTAAGGAGAGCACTCGGAGCAAGAAAGTCTGTCCCCCTCACACAGCGCCTGGGGCCCCAGGACAGCTGTTCTGTGGCACACAAGCTCCACCTGCCACGTCCGCACACCAGCGGGGCAGTGTGGGTACGCCACCTGGCTTTTCCGCTTCACACTTAACCTGTCATGCCTAGTTCATAGTATTATTGGCAAACAACACGCAGGGTGGGGCAAAAGCAGGGTTTCAGTTGGGAGTGGGTGACACAGATTATTCTTATTTATTTATTTATATTTATTTAAAAAATATATATTTTATTGATTTTTCACAGAGAGGAAGACAAAGGGATAGATAGCTAGAAACGTTGGTGAGACAGAATCATCGACCAGCTGCCTCTTGCACACCCCCTACTGGGGATGTGTCCGCAACCAAGGTACATGCCCCTGACCGGAATCGAACCTCGGACCTTCCAGTCCATAGGCCGACGCTCTATCCACTGAGCCAAACCGGTTTTAGCTATTCTTATTTATTAATTATCGTATTATTTTCCATACAAACAGCTGTCAGCCTGCTTTTCCCCTCACCCTGTGTGATAATGTTTAAAAATAACTTTATTATAGTCTTATCCTCACAGGGGTTCAGCTTTTGCTACACTGCATGTTGTCCCCAGGACCCACCCCCCTAGGGACAGGGAAGCGGCTTTGGTGTACGGTTTCTACCTGTCCCCGCCTGGCCCGTCTTCCCTGCCCGTCCCTGCTGCTCAGGGGCTGACCTCACCTTTCACCAGCGTGTGCTTGTCCGTGGGGGATGATCGAGCCAGGACTCGAAGCTTAGGCCAGATCTTGTCCAGTTTTTCTTGCTCTACCTGCCAATATCAGACCACACCTGGGTCAGTCACGTTCAGAAGAGCCCCCCCCAGGAAGAACCCTCCTGCTCCGCCCACTCCAGGCTGCGGGGAGGGCTGTGCTCCACGCCAGGGGCTGGGTCACCTGCCCCAGTGCAGATGCAGCAGGGGACCCCGTCTCCAAGGGCAGACTCACTGACGGTGCCCCTCCAAGCCCTGCTTGTCTGCCTTCTCCTCCCAATTCCCTACCTGGAGCCGATCCCCCATTTCTAGACCCTTGGTGGGGAAGGGAGGGGTGAGCCAGGGTCAGCTAAATGGCTCAAGTGGGGCTTCTGAGGCCTTAGGTTTGATTTTGACATAGACCAGGAAGCTCTGGTCTGCTCCACATCTAGACCACGTCCTCCTACAAACCCGTATCACTGTCAGTCACAGGGCAGTGACCCAGGAGGACAGAGGCCGACTGAAAACCCCCGAAAGATGTGAAAAGTTAGCGACACACCCTCAAAAGTGAGCTTGTGAGTGAAGGTCGTGAGAAGGAAGCTCTTGATTCTACCGCCTGAGCAGCCCTGGTGGCAGGGGCGTTCGCTGTGAATAACTTCGAGTTTGAAAAGCACCCATGTTCTCCCACGTGCCCCAGGTGCCTAACATGAGACCCGGCCCTTCCCCTGCCAAACGCGGGCCCGGCTCCTCTCACCCAGGACCCACCTCGCCCTTTTCGTTGCGGATGAGCCGGTTGAACTCCTTCCCTTCCAAGCACAGGAACTCGTCCCCAGGTGTGATGATGCCACACTTGGTGGCAATGGCCCGGGCTGTGTTGAGGTTGTCCCCCGTCACCATTCTGACAGTGATGCCAGCTCGTTTGCATTTGGCAATGGCATCTGGGACCTATGGAGGGCGAGGCAAGAGGAGAGGAGCAGCTGGTGATGCCGGGAAGCGGCTCTGCTCAGCGGCTCCTTCATCGTGGACAGGATGGGGGGGCCCCCCCTCGAAGAAGTGCCACCCCACTTCTGGCACGTTGGAATTAGCCTTGTGTGCCAGGCGTTGAAGGGGAGACTGGCCGTAGGAGCCAGGAGTGAAAGCTCACTCTCCCACATACCATCTAGACTCCTCAGCACAGGTGGCCTTTTGAGATCTGGCCACTGCCTTCCTTTCTGGCAGAAGTCTTTACACTGTCCATCCATCCTCCCTCTACCCTCCCTGGCCACGTTCCAACCACAGCAATTTCTTGTGGTTTCCCGAACACAGGACACCCTTCCGAGCTTCTGGGCCTTGATAATTGATAGCTGATCTCCCTGGACTTCTTAGGAGCAGAGGCTTTTGCACTTCTCTAGTGTCAAGAACAGTGTTGGGCTTTTGGGAGGGGGGTGCGGGGAAGGGGAGATCAACAAAAATATGTTGATTGAAAGAAGGTGGCCAGAGACAAAGCTGGTGTCCTTGTCAGAGAGTGGGGATTTTTGAGCATGCTTCCAGAGACCGTGGGCCATGCCCCAGATAGAGGTGTCAGTGCTGACACCAGGCCAGGCCTTGAGATATGGTCTCATGGCCCCTTCCTAGTATGTAGGCCTTCTTTCACAGAACACTGTCAGCTTTCTGAAGGACAGGATGACCCTGTGAATAACATGGTAGTCAATGGCATGATCCTGATGTTCCTTGGGAAAAACTGTTTTGTCTTGGGTCGCTTGCTCTGTAAGAACGGGATGTGGTTAATGGGTTTAAAAGTGGTCCTACACAAAGGGTCGCTGCTGCTCTCTGGTCTCCCTGCGTGGAGAATGGCAGAGCAGTCGCCCGGCTAGTAGCTCGCCCGGCCGGCTAATAAAGGCTCCCTAAATTTTAATTTGGTCTGAGCTCCAGTGGTCACTCACTTGCGTTCGCTCCACAACATCCTGATTAGTTCTTCCTCCTGACTATTCTTACGAACCAAATGATGAGCCTAGTGAACCCTGTGCTGCCCACCTTGAAGCAGTGCCAACGTAGGAATGGCACCTTCTGCCAGCTCAGCACTCGGCAGTTCTGTGGAGCTGGAAGCCCAGAAACAGCCCTCCGTGCAAGTGAGAAGCAATTAGGTAACTTTCGTGGGTCACAACTGGAAGCAGAGCCAGTACCCTCGCTCCCGTGACTCCTGGTGGCTTCCCAGCAGGTCACATTGGGCCCACACGCGGGCCAGCGGCCACTGGAAGACTTCCACTCATGTGTTCTTGCTCACCTCTGGGCGCACAGGGTCCTCAATGCCCACCACCGCGATGCAGGTCAATTCAGTGAGGATCTCGCTCTCGTTGTCCCATGGGGGCTCCCCGTCATTGAAATCTCGATAGGCCAGGCAGATGGTGCGAAGCCCCTCACTGGCCATGGGCTCGATGACCGTGCGCACGATCTCATCTCGGTCCTTGCTCTTGAATGGCACTGCTTCTCCGTCCTTGTCCAGGATGCGGTTACACCTGGGGAGGCACACAGTCAGAAAGCAGCCTCCCCCTTCCCACCCAATGCATCTCTACCATTCTCTATTGGCATTCTGGAAACTCTGCAGTACCTCTGAAGGCCCTGTGTCCTGGCCAGAAACCTCTATCCACCACTCAGCCGGGCCCCCTTCTCAAGGTGGGGTGGCCTGTAGGTAGACAGGCACATCTTAGGTGGAGCGTGTGACTCTCCCATGTCATCTGTTCCCACTCATATGTGATGCAGTGCCAAGAGTCACTTGTGGAACTTCTCAAGGGTAGAGAGATGTGTTTTTTTTTTGTGCTCAGTACCTACAACAGTGCCCAGTGGGTAGGGTGTGTTCAACAAGAATGTGTTCATTGACCGAGGTGGCCAGAGCCAAGTTGGGGTGCTGGTTAATTCAGTTACTGGCCCTGGACCTGGTAATGGCCTGGGGGGATAACCCAGCCACTCTGAGTAGGTTACTGACTTTCCTGTATTTAGAATTGAGAATAAGAAGGAAGAGGGAACACGGAGCTAATGTTTCTCGAACTTGCCATGTGCAAGGAAGGTGTTTACATACATCGAATCACTTAATTACAGTCACCCCGTGCGATGGGCTTTCAGATTGGGGATGGAGGCTGGAACGGCCTGAATCCTGGCTGTGCCACTATTAGTTGCGACACCTTGAGCAAGTTTACTTCATTTCGCTGTACCTCTGTTCTCTCATTGCTAAAAGAGATGACGATAGCATCTCCCTCACTGAGTGGTGAGGACTGGATAAAACGAGCCACCGAAGGGACTTAAAAGACAATGCTTGGCCTGAGACGGTGCTCAGAGGCTAGGAGCTGGCACATCGCTCGGTGGTCTCAGCCTGGACCGTCGTGAGGGAGGCTCTGGAAGGAAAGAGGGAGGAGGAGAGCTCACTTGCGCAGAATGATCTCGGAGGCGCCCTTGCTGTACATGCGGTAGCCGCCGTCGGGCTTCTGGATGACCGTGCTCATGGACTTGCGCACCGAGTTGAAGGTGTACACCTTGTATAACTTCTCCTCGGGCACCTCGTTGCGCACAGCATGGTAGTTCTGCTTCAGGTCGATGACGAAGCCCAGCAGTGAGCACTCCGTCTTGTTGCCCACCTGCCGTGGCAGGCCCCCCTCCTGCTCCGGAGGCTGGGAGGGAAACACACATGGCGCCCGTGAAAAAGGTGCCTTGGCCGGGGAGGATTCAGGGAGGAAACGACGCCCCTTGCACCTTTCACACGGCTGCCCGGGTGGAGGGAGGGCGGCATCTGTTCTTTTCAAGGGCAGGTGGCCAGTGGTCAGTGGAACTTGCCCCTGAGCCACCTGGGTTATGGGTGGTCAGTTTGTCCTGGGGTTGGTGCAGGTGGCTCACCCTTTGTGGGTCTCATTCTAATACCCTCTCCGAGTTTCTGGAAAGTGAGTACTTGACTCCTGATAAGCCCGGACCTGCTATCAGGACAAGGCCTCTCCCTGGAGACATTGTCTTTACGTGGTAATTGGAGGGCATTCCACAGCCATAGATTCCTCCCTGGCACCCCCGCCTGCCACTTCCACTCTCCTCCTGTGGGTTATTCCCTAGTTTCGCCCCAAACGCGTTCACTTAAGAGGAGGAAATGCAATGTGGAATGGCAGCTCAGGAAGAATGAATGAGAGAAGATGACTTGTCTTAGAGAAAATGAATGTTCCCTCCAACCGCCCATTCTATATGTGCAGGCAAAGGAAGGGCTTACCAGGATCTTGGAGGTGTAGGCACTGTTGATAGAAATGCCATTGACAAGAAGGTCCAGGACCTTAGGCACGAGGGCATCGGGGCTTGGGATCTGACGGTAGTGGGTGTTCCCGATATAAGCCTGTACCACGGTCATGCGGTTCATGGTCAACGTGCCTGTCTTGTCAGAGCAAATGGCTGTGGCGTTGCCCATTGTCTCACAGGCGTCCAGGTGCCGCACCAGGTTATTGTCTTTCATCATTTTCTACGGAGGACAAGAGAAAAGACTTGAGAGGGGACCCACGGAGCTCCCCCAGGGAAGGTCAAAGGCCGTTTCCTAGCTAACATCTTTCCACATGCCATTCTCTTGTCCCACAGAAAAATGCAGGATATTCTTCTTCTGAATCCTCTTTAGATTCTACTGGGTCAGTGGTCAGCAAACTCGTTAGTCAACAGAGCCAAATATAAACAGAACAAGGATTGAAATTTCTTTTGAGAGCCACATTTTTTTAAACTTGAACTTCTTCTAACGCCGCTTCTTCAAAATAGACTTGCCCGGGCCGTGGTATTTTGTGGAAGAGCCACACTCAAGGGGCCAAAGAGCCACATGTGGCTCTCAAGCTGCAGTTTGCTGACTACTGTACTGGATCATTGAAACAATGATGCAGCTATCACAATGGCCCGTCCACTGGGGCTCTTAGGAGGTACCACATGGAGTCCATAGAGCATAGGTGGCCCATCCTTTTGTCAAAGGCGGTGTGGCACTTCCCCCTCCCACCTGTGTCCTGAGGGAAGAGAAAGTGTCATTCTGGTCTCACCTTCACAGAGTAGGCCAGTGAGATGGTGACAGCCAGTGGCAGCCCCTCGGGCACAGCCACCACCAGGACAGTGATACCGATGATGAAGAACTTGACAAAGTACTGGATGTAGATGGGGGTGCACTCGGCTAGCCATGACTTGCCCTGTATCACGAAGTTGTCGATCACAAAGTACAGAATCAGGATGAGAACGGTGATAGCAGACATGATCAGACCTGCACAAGAAACAGCTCACGTGAACCCCGGCACCTGGCCATTCCTAGGACACCCTCCCACCCCCCCCAGGCTTGAGTTGTGGCCTTTGTCACCAATTCTCCAAGCCGCTACCTCCAGGAAGTCATACAAGAATCCCCTCCCCATTCTTGTTGCTTGTATGAGTGTAGGGAGAGACATGGGTTTTGCATTTCGGATACACGGGTTCTGTCTCAGCACTGCACTGATTTGACTCTGGCTTTGGTCTAGTCGCTCATGCTGTCTGGCCTATTTTCTCACACATAACTAAGGGGGCTGGCCTAGTGTTCTGAATCAGCATTCTATGATCTTATCTCAGACCTACTCTCTTCCCACGAGTCACAATGCAGTGATTATACTCGCCAGCTTCCTAGTAGTTTCTCAAGGTAGACTTTCCCCAATAGCAGGCTGAGAATGCCAGGCAATTTTGCAACTTGTTTACAGCGATGCCCTCATGGTGCTAGCCTAGCACCCCCAAAGTCCAATCTCTAGTACAGAGCCTCCCAGGCAAAAGGAGGCAACAACAGCACATACTTACATAGTGCCTACTCTGGGCCAGGCAGCCCTTCATATTAACTAACCTATTTCATCTTCATGACACCCCGGTGAGATAAGCTACTGTCATTATCCCCTTTTCTGAGGAAACGGAGGCACAGAGAGGTTTTTGGTATGGCTCCCTGGTGGGGGACCAGCCATCTGGGTTGCAGGTGAGCAGTTTCCTGGGATGTGGGAGGATTCAGGAGGAAAAGAATTCCCTTTAAAACGTGGTCAACGAGCTAAAATCAAGAAAGTCCCAAGAATGTCAAAACCGGTTTGGCTCAGTGGATAGAGCGTCGACCTGCTAACTGAAAGGTCCCGGGTTCGATTGTGGTCAAGGACATGTACCTTGGTGTGGGCACATCCCCAGTAGGGGGTGTGCAGGAGGCAGCTGGTCAATGTTTTTCTCTCATTGATGTTTCTAGCTCTCTATCCCTCTCCCTTCCTCTCTGTAAAAAAAAAAAAAAAAAAAAAAAAAAAAAAATCAATAAAATGTATTTGAAAAAGAAAAAAAAAGAAAGAAAGAAAGTCCCAAGCAAACTGGGACAGCTGGTCAACCTACACACCAAGGCACATGGAAGGTTCTGCTCAAGATCTATAAACAACTGGCCCAGGGGTTCCAATGGTGCTGGGGCCAGCATCTGGGCAGAGGCGCCCATGTCTGCGGCATCCTGTCTGCCTCACACTGTGGTCTGGCTGGGTCTTCCCTTTTCCTGAGGGCCTGCTGAGCAAGGCTAGAGGCGGTCAATGCATACCAATGAGAACATATTCTTTTGCACTTTGCTTCATCGTGCTCAGGGCTAAGGTGAGGCAAACAAGATGTCCAGGTTACGAAACGGAATGAGGTATTCCTCTCTGGGGGGCACAAGGCACCTTATTTTCCTCATCCCAGTCCTGGCCTCGCTTGAAATGTAAAATGAAACAACAGAGGAGACGACTGGCCAGCCACCAGGAAGTCTGTGCTTCCCACGGCACAACACGGGGATTAGGAGGAAAACAGGAAGGATTAGGTGAGTCTGGTTAATGTTCCAAACCTGTGTGGCAGGCCCAATAACTTGACTCCACACCTGCATTTCATCTCATCCATGGCTAATTTATATTTAAGAGATTTCACGGTAGTCAAGATTAGTTGGGTAAAAGAACTGAATGAACAGGCTAGACCAGTGGTCGGCAAACTGTGGGTTGCGAGCCACCTGTGGCTCTTTGGCCCCTGAGTTTTTAGCAAAGGCCAGCTTAGGAGCACCCTGATTAAGTTAATAACAATGTACCTACCTATATAGTTTAAGTTTAAAAAATTTGGCTCTCAAAAGAAATTTCAGTTGTTGTCCTGTTGATATTTGGCTCTGTTGACTAATGAGTTTGCCGACCACTGGGCTAGACTAGCACTAACAGAACTCACTATGGTGTTTAAAATATCCTCTATTTACACTGTCCAATATGGTAGCTACCAGCCTCATGTCATTATTGACCAATCAAAATAAGGCTAGTGTGAACTGAGGAACGGAATGTTTAATTATATTTAATTTTAGTTAATTTAACTAGCAACAGCCAAACATGGTTAACAGCTATGGTAGTGGACAGTAGATTCTAGCCACTCAGTGTGTGCTTAGTGGGTCAGTGGCACTGGCCTCACCTGGACTTGCTAGAAATGCAGACTCTCAGGCCCTGCCCAGACCTCTTGAATCAGACACGGTGCTTTCACAAGGTTTCACAACTGTACACAGAGATACACTAAGCCGGACTATGACTGTGGTAAGCAGAGGGGGCGGGGTCAGGGAGTAATTCAACAGAGGGATATGTCTGTTGAAGAAGCAATCTTCCTCCCTTTTCCTTTTTTTCCTTTTTCTTTTTATTAAATTATTATCTGTGTACATATCTTACCATTGCCCCCCCCCCCCATACATGCCCTCCCTCCCCAGAGTTCTGTGTTCATTGGTTGTACTTATATGCATGAATACAAGTCCTTCGGTTCTTATCTCCCCAATCTTCCTTTTGTTCCCGCCTCCAAACCCCTCTCCCCATCCCACCCCTGAAAGAATGCAGAGGACAGGCTCATGGCGGGAAGTCCTGGAGAAGCCACCTCCTCACAAGCGCCATTAGTGACTTCTCCTCTGCAAATGGCCTGGCCACTGCCTCCTCCCCGCCCCCCCTGCCTCTGCAATCCTTATTTTGCATTTATGAGTTTATGGCTCTGCCTGGCCTGATATAACTACTCTGCTAGGGAACGATCTCTAACAACCTTCTCTACGCTTAAGGAATGGACAAGCCCCAAGTCCACACGTGACAGGTAAGCAGTTATTACAGCCTCCCTTTTTGCTAATGTAAATCTCCCGTGTTGTGATATAAGTTCTTTACTTCCCATGTGTTTGGATGAGAGATTTCAGGGCCTTTAAACCTTTATACGCGGGCAAACACTTCTCTCTGAGGGCCTAGGCGGGGTCATGATGTGGCTGCCTAGACAGCACCAGCCCCTGGGAGGGCTCAGCTTCCTCCGCCAGACCTGGCTGGTGTGGAGGGAAAGGAATCGATGCAGTGAGACTCTGGAACAGTCTCGATAGACCACAACAACCGGAAGGCTCCACGGGACTCACCAGCTTTCCCGATCTGCACAGCCAAGCGCGTCAGCTTGCCCTGCAGCACCGACTTCTCCTTCTTGGGCAGCTTGACCACCTTCTTCTCCTTCTCCTCGCTGTCGACGCCCTCCTGGCTGTTGAGTGGCTGGATTTCCAGGGCCACTCCATCCTGAGCCTTGGCTAGGGTGCACACACAAACAGGACAAGTGAGCAGGCAGGGAGCCGCGTGGAGCAGCGGGCAGGTAGAAACGAAAACACCCTTCTGTCTTCTTCCTGGATACACCTTGGACCCCCCACATCAGCCCTGACCACTCTCACCCTAGGCCAGAGAGGGCGCTGGCCTTCAACCCCTTATTAGGGCCATGGGGTAATATTCTAAGAGCTGGAGAGAAAACAGGGGTGCCCTTGGGGTACAGATTTCCTCAGATGGTGCAGCTTCCTGGCACCACCTCAGAGCCCCACGCCAGGTTTATGTTAGGGAGACGATCAGTCATGCCAGTGCTATTTCCAACCACCACCCTTCCTGGAAGTTAGCACTCGCTATAGTGAACCTTGCAGAAAGGGGCTGAGGGGAAGGCTGGCAGATGCTTCCATAGCATGAGGGCCCTAGTCTGCTCTGTGAAAAGGTTCATCTCTCTCTGCGCATAGACTGCCAGGGAAGAAACACCAACCCCAATCAAGGGCGTTCTCCAGCTCCTCCTTCTACCAGGTGAACAACAAGGGAAGGGAATCTCTGACAAAGGTGGGGAGACACAGAGTAGGAGCGTGGGTTAAGTCTTTTGGGGGGAGAGGGAAGAAGCTGCTGCGAGGACCCCTGGAAGAAGAGAAAGAAGGGATTAAGACAGACATATACATCCCTTTTGCTTTTTAAAGAAGAGAAGGTAAGTCCTAAAATTAAAGAATCACTTTTGTGCAGCCCTGGCTCTCCGACGGGAAGACGTTCTTTTTAAAGACTGCGGGGATACGGTGACAGAGGCACTGTCTGAGAGCAGTGCTCTCTGGTTCCCACACCCTCCACCTTCACCCCTGCAGAGCTCGGCCCCTTTGCTTAGAATGCCCTTTCTGAGATTCGGTCTCTGCTGTCAGACTCACAAACAAGACAGAGACGGATGTTAGCACAGCCACCAAGAGGAACACACATCAGATCAGGGGGAAGAAAACAGACTGTGGAGAGAACAAAGAATAGGGTAGGAGAGAGGCACAGAGAAAAGGCTCTCTCCGAGCTCCTGAGACCAGCGGAGGGTTCCAGACCAGAAGAGAACACCGATGAGGAAGCCAGCAAGAGGAGGGTGCAGGGACTGCCCACCCCGGCGCCCTCCACCACAAGGACCCTGAAGTCTTCCAACCCAGACGCGGATGGTTAAATCCAGCCTAGGGCAACGAGGAGAAAGAGTTCAGCACCCTGGGAAGAGCGACAGGTGGACCCCGCACACTCCCCAAGAGAAACCTTGACAGGAGGTTCCCTGAGCCAACAGCAGAGGGTGCTGTTGTCCCATCTTGGATTGAGACCGGGACCTTGAGACCACCCCACATCTCTGCACCTTCCTCAGGATGAGGCATCTGGGCCACAGCAGCAGATAACAGATTTATGACAAGGAAAAGGGAGAAGGCAGATGGCCTGGAAGGTCTGGTTTGAGTGTAGTCAGGTAGAGATGGGAGATGAGTGGGTGGACAGGTTACCTTTGTTGCGATTTTCGGGGACTCCTTGTTTTTTACCTGTTTGAACAAGAAAGAAAAAAGTGGGGTGGAGACCCAAGGTAACTATTAAGAGATCAGATATCCAACTTGGTGGTCCTGCTCAGAGCCCAAAAGGGCGACAGCAAAGGGACTGAGCTGCAGGGGAGGGGGCGTGAAGGAAGCTTCGTCTCTGCTCCTGCCCCTTCTCACTCGGGCTTCTCATGACGCCACGGGGAATGGAGCAGACCACGCCTGCAGGCGAGCGCACACCCACACAGCGCCGTCTCCCGAGCATGGCTGCATCGCGTGGAGAAATGGGGTGGTGGTGGTGGGGAGCAAGAGGGTGAACTGTGTTGGCCTGATGGCAAAGGCTCTGCAGAGTCCCCACGTCATCGCCAGCACCAGGCCGCCTCCTCCTCACTCATCTGCAGATGGCTGCAGAGACGAACAGCGTGTTGTTTCCTTTTCATACCCTGCCCTCCACTAACCAGCCAAGATGGCCCTCCGCCGCCTAACGGGTGGAGTCCTTCTCTCCTTCCAGGGAAGAGGGAACGCGTAGGGAAAGCTGCAGATGTGGTTTTACTATGCTTTCTGTTTCTCCTTCCTTCAAGAACAAGTGAATGGCCAAGGCGGGGCTAACTTCACAGCAGGCATCACCTGTTTGCTCACTCTCCTAGCTGCTCTCTCTCTTCCATTGGCAGCCCATGGTTCTGCAGGCATCCAGCCATCTCTTGGCCAGTTTTCCCTTAGCCCCGTTGGTCGGCAAACTGCGGCTCGCGAGCCACAAGTGGCTCTCTGGCCCCTTGAGTGTGGCTCTTCCACAAAAATACTGCAGCCTGGGTGAGTCTATTCTGAAGAAGTGGCATTAGAAGAAGTTTAAGTTTAAAAAATTTGGCTCTCCAAAGAAATGAATTTCAATCGTTGTACTGTTGATATTTGGCTCTGTTGACTAATGAGTTTGCCGACCACTGCCTTAGCCCTCATGGTTCATCTGCCCCCCCCCCCCCCCCTCCATGTTTGAGGAAGAACGGGATGGGATCAGAGGACTACACTGAGGGGCATTTAGGGCCAGAGCACTGGCCAGCTCACTTGGGGCAGGCTTTATAACTCACCTCTTTACAACCCACCAATGTGCACAGGGATGGAGGCTCAACTGCAACCTGATTTGGGAGCTAGAGACAGGATCTGGGGGTCATCAGCCCCCTAGAGAGCCAGTGGGGACATCTCCGTCTCTGCTCTTCATCCAGCAGTCTCCCATCAGATCTGCTCCCTTGCCTCCTAGCTTGTCCGTGGGGACAGGAGGGAAGAGAGTCTCATTCTGAATGCCTCTTACCTTTCTTCTTCTTCTCCTCCTCTTCTCCCTCACTGGCCCCCAAGAGAGTAAAGATGATTCCAGTCTGGGAGTTGACACCCACAGCAGTCACTAACATCCGGCCAGAACCTTCCATGACATGGGTCCCTGTGGGAGAAAGGAGAAGATGGGTAGAGTGTTGTGTTTTACACCTCATTATGCTCCGATGTAAGACACAAGCTTCCTTCTTCCCCTATGGATAATGATACTCAGCAGAGAGAAGGAAAAGGTCAAGAGCTGGGGCCATTTAAAATAGGATAAGTAGCTTAGCTGGTGTGATTCAGTGGTTGAGTATCAACCTATGAACTAGGAGGTCACAGTTCAATTCCTGATCAGGGCACATGTCTAGCTTGCAGGCTCGATCCCTAGTTGGGAGTGTGCAGAAGGCAGCTGATTGATGATTCCCTCTCATCATTGATGTTTCTCTCTTTCTCCTTCTCCCTTTCCTCTCTGAAACCAATAAAAATACACTAAAAAGTTAAAATAGATAAAGTAAATTGGGGGCTAAGGAGCTAAGTGTGTCTAACTGCTTTAGGGTAAGGCTCCTTCCCTGACCATCCACCCTCTTCCAGCACTTGCTCCACAGAGAACTTCTGTTAGGTTACTTTAGATCCTTGTATTTAACCCACTCATGCCACTGCTCCAGGGAAAGGGGACGAAGCGGGGCCTGAATCAGGTCTCCGTGGCCTGGCCGTGTGGGAAGAGGCAGAATGGAAACCAAGGTGGCCAAAGCCATACCAGAGAGCAACATGGGGTCTCTTTCCAAGGATTTCTTGACATGGTCCGATTCTCCAGTTAGGGAGCTCTCGTCAATCTTGAGATCATTCCCCTGGATCAGGATCCCATCTGCAGGCAGCAGGTCACCTAGTGCACAGAGGGGAAGGGGAAACAGGGAAAGGGGGCGGTAAGAGCCTGGCAGAGGGTGGGGACCATCCAACCCCATCCCAGACCTCTCATCTAGAAGCAATGGCCCAGGGAGTAGCTGGAGAGCCTGTTTTCCAGGTATTATAACTTCAAACAACTGTTTATCCCCGAATACCTTCCCATGGCCTGAATATTATATACTTTTAACCCGAAGATGCATAAGTCTGACAATCTTTTGGGAGTTTCCGTTAGTTCTTTCTCTGAATTTCCTTTCATAATCCTCTTAAATGTGACCGAGGGGCTAACACAGTTTGGGATCGTATCTTCTTGGGCCCTCGGCCATAGGGAGGGTGGCGTGGGCAAGAGAAACCCGGAGCTCTCACCGTATTTGATTTGGGCGATGTCACCCACCACGATCTCAGCTACAGGGAGCTGGATGATGTGACCATTTCGAATAACGGAGAATTTCTGTTCCCTTTCAATGCGGTTCTGCAGCCCTCGGAACTGCTTCTCTTTGCTCCAATCATTGAAGGCCGTTACTAGCACCACGATGATCACCGAGAACAGGATGGCTGCCCCCTCGATCCAGCCAGCTTGTGCCTCCCCTTCATCCTCTGGACTATTGATAGGTAGACCACACTCTGGCCCATCGAAAAGAGAGAAAGAAAGGGTCACCTAGGTGCTTTGACTGACACTGAAACAATGGGGGTAGTGCTTCTGCAATCCCTCAGAATGGAACGTCAAGGAAAGAGAATCATAAAAAAAAAATAAAAAAAAAATTAAACTCTTGGGTAGGAGAGCTTCCCTCGAGGGATATTGGAGGACAACAGGATTGGGCTTCATTCCATCACTATATGTTAACCCAAGAGTAGCAACTGACTAAATAGTGCAAAACACGTCAATGCAAATCATAGGCAGGTCACACGTAAAGAACTTATGACTCCTGACACAGCCAGGCGCCTGCTGTTATGGCCCCAGATGCCAATATTGGTGTGGGGCACGCTGGGAAGCAGGTCGTGTTGGTTGGGTGAGGGTAGAGGATTTGTGGCATTCCACATAAGGATTTCACGGGAGAAGAGTGAGAAGACCCTGGGACCGGAATGGATTGGGAGAATAGCTTATTAGCTACTTGTTGGCTTCCTTTGGAGAACCCACCCTGAATAATGGGGGGAAATGACAGATTATTTAAGCTATAATCTGTCAGCCACGGAGTGTTTTTTGGTGGTTGGGGGAAGAGCCAGGTCAGAGTTCTGCGGGGCGGTCCAAGACACTCACTTTCATTTTCTTCACCATGGGGGCGGTAGAAGGACAGAACCAGGGAGATGATGGCTGCGATCTCCAGGATGATGAGGGTGACATCTTGAAGGGCTTCCCACACTAATTCTAAGAAGGTCTTGGGCTTTTTGGGGGGGATTAAGTTCTGTCCAAATACTTGTTTACGTTTTTCCAGATCTGCTGGGTTCCCAGAGAGACCTGAAAGGAGACAGGGGAAGAGATGAATGCTAGAGGAAAGCAGTGAAAAGACCTCTTTACAAAAAAAAAGACCCCCTGCGCCCTAGCAGGTTTGCTCAGTGGTTAGAACATTGGCTTGAGGACTATAGGATCCTGGGTTTGATTCCGGTCAAGGTCATGTACCACGACTGCAGGCTCGATCCCTAGCCCTGGATGGAGCGTGTACAATGGCAACCAATTGAAGTGTCTCTCTCACATTAATTCTTCCTCTGTCTCTCCCTTCCATTTTCTCTCTATAAAAAATAAAAATAAATGGAAAAACACCCTCAGGTGATGATTAACAAAACAAAACAAAACAAAACAAAACAACAACAAAAAACCCCCTTGCTTCCTAATATGCCCAAGTATGAGATCCAGTTAGGGTGGCTAAACCACCCCAATCTGTTCAGGACTTGGGGATGTGAAACTTTCAGTAAAAAAATGGGTAAACTGCAATCAGGTGGTCACAGCAGCCACTTACCCTCCTTAGTCTCCCAGGGAAGCTAGCTTATTCCTACACTTCATCTCCTTCCTGAGCTATGCACCAGACTCCAGCTCTAAGGACACAAACATTCTCTCTCATCATTGGTGTTTCTCTCTCCCTCTCCCTTCCTCTCTGAAATCAATAAAAATATATTTTAAAAAATGTTTCCTGGGGCTCATGGAACTTCTCTCTCATATTAGCATGTATATGCTGGCGATGATTTAAAAACAGAGTTCGCTTCCATCCACCGGCTCACACACAAAGGCCAGAAAGAACAAGCTGTCTGCTCAAGGTCATGCTAGGAGGCCAGGAGGCACAGCCCCACCAGGTGTCCTGATTTCAGCGGCTGTAGGAGATCCACAGAAAAGAGGCGCCGAGACTCCAACCTTGGGCATTCCCTCTGTGCACACATCCCCTTCCCTCTCTGACACACACAAAAAGACACAAAAGCACACCCCATGAAGAGGTACTGCTATTCTATTAAGTACTACATATCTAGATTAAGTACTAAGAGAAGTACTGCTATTCAGGTGAAATAAAAAGAGAACAACAACAAAAAAAAGTGGAGCTACAAAGTCAGAGAGCACGCCATCCTTGAAAACCAGCATGCTCCCACTAACAGACATGCTTGCATGCCTGTGCCAGTGTGCACACATGTTCTGAGCATGTTCCCAGAGAGGACACGAAATTATTCCCGGTGCTTTTCTTACAGCTAGGCCTCTCTGCTGGGCCCCAGGGGTTCACACTTTAAGGGAAGTGGGGAAATCCTAAAGTTTCCATTCCTGCCCATTGGCTGGCTTCAAGTTGTTTCCACACAACAAACAGCAAATTAGCCCCTCTTGGCACTTGAAGTCACTGGGCTGCACAGTTGGGTGGGTCCTCACAGGCAGGGTGGGGCAACTTTGTCATGAAAAAAGCCAGCAGATGAGGAGGGTGAGAATCAGCCAACAGAGCTTCAGAGAATGCAAAGAACCCAGCCCAGACAGCTTAGTGGTTGAGCGTCGACCTATGAACCAGAAGGTCACGGTTTGATTCCGGGTCAGGACATATGCCCGGGTTGCAGGCTGGATCCCCAGGGTGGGGCATGCAGAAATCAGCCTGTCCATGATTCTCTCTCATCATTGATGTTTCTATCTCTCTCTCCCTTTCCCTTCCTCTCTGAAATCAATATTAATAGTATTTAAAAAAAACACACCAAACAACAGTGCAAAGAAAAGCAGATAATAGGACTCTGCCAGGAGAAAACGGAGACACTGGTGCCAGGGGGCTTCTTAAGACTGAAGCCAACATGCAGGGCTTCCCCTGGCCGCGGGTGGGGGTGTAGCATGAGGGCAAATATCGACTCGCCCTCTCCACTGAATAGGCTCCAAGAGTGTTACCTTAGCTAGGCAAGAGGGAAGATGTGGGTTAGACTGAGGAAGGCTTTCAGACAAAAACGGGTTTGAGAAGGGAGTCTTGTTTACAGGGCCTGAGACAGCCTCCCCGTCACAAGACACTCACCTGCCTGGGAAGGTAGATTTGGGACCCTGCCTGGATGCAAAGGGAGAGTGAACTGGCATCCACACCTGGGGAGTCTGGGATTCGAGAGCTTGTGTTTAGGGAAGGAAAACAGGAGCTGGTGGGGGGAGTGGTGCCCGATGCTCATATACCCAGCCTCCTGCCTCCCAGGGCTCAGTGGCACCACCCTGGCCTCTGGGTAGCACTGCTGAGCTCTGCAGGGGAGCATGCCTTGGCAAGAGCATTGGAGGCAAGTAGGCTGCTTCCTAGAGGCTCTGAGAAGTCAGGCTCCCAGCGGGGAAGGAAAGCCAGGGCCTGGGAAAGGAGTGCTCCTGGGCAGGGCATCTTAATCCCCAGGCAGGCAGAGGCAGAGCTGCCAGGGGCAGGGCTTGCTGGTTCCTCATCCCCAGGGACCCTGGCAGCAAGGCTGTGCCAACTTGGGACTGCTGTGCTGGAGGGCCAGCCTTGCTTGAGGGAACAGGAGTTCTCATCATCTGCCAGTCTACTTGGGATGCTTCTCAAGGAGGCAGGGTTCACAATATAAAGTCATTCACGATGTCATGGGATTCACGGTGTAATGGGATTCACAAAAAAAGTGGTCGTTGCCTCCTTTACAAGAGCGAGTACACGCTGTGAGGGCAAACCATGACATCAGATGTTAGGGATCAACGTAAGGAACATCACAGTGGCTTAAGGAAGGCCCAACAACAACCACAGCAACAACCACAACAGCAACCACCACCCATGTGAGGTGGCCCTGCCTTTTTCCGTTCTCATATTAATACCGTGTAGTCATCCTTGACTCTTCCCCCTCTCTTTCCTTCTCCCTCTCTCTTTCCTTTTCTCTTTCTCCCTCTCTCTCATCTATTATATCCATCCAGTCAGGAAATCCTGTTAGCTTTACCTTCAAAATACATTGCAGGCCTGCTCATTTCTCCTTTTCCATGGCTACCATCCAGGTCTGAAGCATCATCATCATCACCATCATCATCATCACCATCGTCATCATCTCTTGCCTGGATTATTACAACTGCCTTCTAACTGTGTCTTGCCTTCCCTCTCTTGCCTTTTATTCTCATTCTTTCAATAGAGCAGCCAGAATGATATTCTCCAAATCAACTCATGACGCTCATCTCCTCAGAATCCTCTGGTGGCTTTTCCTTGGAGTGAAATTGGGCACTGAAGACCGTATGATGGCCAATAAGACCCTCTAGGAGCCCCCAGACCGCCCATTCCTTACCTCCTACCACGTTCCTTTTGGCCACGGAGATCCCAGCCAAGCTAGCCTTCCCCTCAGTCTCTGAATGCACTCCACATACTTCTATTTTGAGGTCCCCGTTCCCTTTGCTCAGATTCCTCTTCACTAGGTAGGGGTCATTCCCTCCCTTCCTTGTACAGGGGTCTTTGTACAAACGTCACCTTCAGAGTGAGGCCTTCCCTGACCACTGTATTTAACATTAGGACTCTCTGCTCCAGCACTCCCCGTCTCCCTTACCCTGCTCATGGTCCCCTCTCCTGGCCGTCTCCCCTAATATATGCTAGAACTCATTCACTGATTGCTTGTCTACCCCCTCCACGAAGGCAGGATTTCTGACTGTTCCTGAGGTCCGCAGCAGTGCCTGACACATGGTACCCATCCATATCTGTTGAGTGAGCTGAATAAATGAGCAGTACATAAGTTTGCCAACATTTAAGTGACGTCTGTGTCAGACGCTTCCTTAGGTACTTCCGTGTCTTCTCATGTGAAATAACCCCATGTGCTAGCTACCCTTACCCCCACTTTACATCTAAGCAAATTAAGACGTGGAGCGGTTAGATAACTACTCAAGCGGAGCATGTGACTGAGGCTGTCGGGCTCCACCGGGAGCCACTGGATACCAACCTGGCCACAGAGGGGCTGGGCAGAGGCAGCTGCTTCCCTGAGGCTCCGTCCCGGGGCCAAGGGCTTGTCTGGGACTTCCCTGATGTTTGTACAATGAAGCTCCCGCCTCCTGGGAATGCCCAGAACACCCCCTCAGTCCCAGGCCAACAGAGAGGGTTGGCCACCCCACTTATCCACCCAGGACAGTCCCTCAAGGTGCTTTCCTGTGCCTCTAACCAGATCAGCCCGTTACCACCGCTTGCAGTTGGGGTGAGTCAGCTCTGCCCTCAAGGATGGGGTGACACCACGTCTGTCAGAGTCCAACCTAATACCCTCTGTATTCAATCAAAGGTTCACTCTGGCCTTTCTTGGACCCAAGCGAATGAAACAAGACACAGCATGGAAAACAGAAAAGGTCAGGCCTTGCTCGCACCTACAGGCCCTCAGTCCCACACGTACTTCCTTTGTGCCATTTTCTCTCCTCTGTGTGCTCCACCTTAATCACCCTACGCTCTTCACTAGCTACCTTAAGAAGCCACGGGGCTGTCCCAGTTCCCAGCATGCCCCGTGCAGGGAGGGGCAGGCTGGGCCATTAGCATAGTAGCCTTGGGAATCCTCCCTCAGACATGTGGCATGGCACAGGAGGCCATGTGGGGCTGGGAGCCGGGCCAATCCCCGATTCTGGGCTTGCCATTCCAACTCTCCCTGCCCCCGAGAGGCCGCTGGGCCCGCGCCCAGCAGCCGTAATCGCACACTCATCCTCGTCCAGCCCAGGAGAGGGGTTTAGCCCTCATCTCTGCGCTGCTTCTCAAACGCTGGGCTTCCTGGAGGGGGAAGGGAGGCTTGGCAGGGAGAGCATGCTGGGAACATAGGAAAAGAGTTTCCCCTAAAAGACGTCAAGAAAAGGAGAGAAACCTTGTCCACCAGGACATGGGAAAGTCCACCCACACAGGAGTGTTCCCAGACTGAACACAGGAGCTGGGGGAGGTGACAGGAATGCAGGCTGTGAAGTCATCGCCCCCACCCCACGCTGGGAGTGACAGGCCCCTGCCCAGGCGGGCGGGCGGGAGGTGGAAAATCTGTGTGTGCAGCGCTGTGTGTGCAGGCCTGGGGCGAGGGCGGGATGCTGCGCCGGCCCTC